CACTCTTCATATGAGAGCTACGTACACTTTGCCACTGCGGAATTTCACTATGAAGAAAAAAAAATTACAAGAATCTCTCACTAGCCTCACAAATTGGCTCACTCACCAAACCCTATTTGGTGGCTCTCACTCTCTAATTGTGAATTTGCCTTCTATTCAATTTGTGATCTCTAACTCTAGCACTTAACCACTTTTTTATAGGTAATACATGGGACACTATTCCTAATAGGACTCAAACCCATATCCTAATAGGAATTATATTATAATCCTATTCCCTATTGTATTCCTAAAAGAAAACAATTATACTTAAACACAAATTAGGAAAACCCATGTCCTAATCCAACTCTAATTTAGATTGAATTTGACTCCACAATCTCAACAACATTGTGTGAGAAGTATTGAACGCATAAACTTTTTTTTTTTTTTTTTTTATGACTAGAGGTATTCGTGCCTATTTATATGCACTTCAATTAATCTCCCAAGACCCCGCTCTATCGGTCGGGTAAGAACTCCAGTGACTACCCCTATTAGCACCTAAGGAGAGGAAGGATTCGAACTCAGGACCTCTTGAGTAATACACCTAAGAGTCCCCATCGAGCCACTTGGCACACTTAAACTTCCAACAACACAAAATTGCAAGTCATTACATATGTGTTCAAAACATGTTTTCCATAATATGAAATTTTTGTTTTTTTTTTTTTTTAAATAAAAGGAAATAGATATTAAAATCTTAAGCACCATTTAAACACTAATTACACCAAATTATAAATATATGTAAAGTACACTTCTTTAGATAAATAAAAATGATTTTTTTATACACAATTAAATATTTACAAAACATGTTGAACTTTTAAATCATCTCTTGCACTTTTGGTTGATAACAACTCTTTCAATTGAAACTGCATATTCTTGAAGCTTGTTGTAGTTTTAATAACACCTTTTAATCAAAACATAATCAAATTCTGCAATTAAAAAGAAGAGAACATTTAATTCAATAATCATTGCAAAATAAAATAACAAAAAAAAAAAAAAAAGATTAACTAATAAAGTTTCATGAATTTAAGTTAACAAGAACAAACTCACTATTTTTTTTACCTCTTTATATTGAACTCTCTCTCTCTCTCTCTCTCTCTCTCTCTATAACAAAAAAAAAAAAAAAAAGATTAACTAATAAAGTTTCATGAATTTAAGTTAACAAGAACAAACTCACTATTTTTTTACCTCTTTATATTGAACTCTCTCTCTCTCTCTCTCTATATATATATAGCTTTTAGTTTTAATAACCAATATCAACAACAAAAAAGGCATGTTGTAGAAAACAATTTGTCAAAACATTTAATTCAGTAATCCTTGCAAAATAAAAAAAAAAAAAAAAAAAAAAAAAGATTAACTAATAAAGTTTCATGAATTTAAGTTAACCAAAACAAACTCACTATTTTTTTACCTCTTTATATTGAACTCTCTCTCTCTCTCTCTCTATATATATATAGCTTTTATATTGAATCCCCAATATCAACAACAAAAAAGGCATGTTGTAGAAAACAATTTGTCAAGTAAAGCTTGTTTTGGAAGACTATTTGGCAACAAGTAAGACATGCTGTGATAGACTATTTTGCAACTTCTATTATTTGTATGTTGAGTCTAACTTGGAAACAAACTGATGAAACAAGGGACTAGCTAAAGACTTAGTAAAAATATCAGCAACTTGAAGCTTGGAAGAAATATGCTGAGGAAGTACAAAACCAACCTTGTATTGATTATGAACCACATGACAATCAATTTCAAGATGTTTTGTGTGTTCATGAAAGACAGGGTTGGTTGTGATATAAAGAGCAGCTTGATTATCATCACACCATAAAGGAATAGGAAGGTGCAGAGGAATATGAAAAGTTTTTGAGAATATAGGAAATCCATTGCAATTCACATACAGTGGAAGCAAGGCTACGATACTCAGCTTCAACAGAGGACATGGAAACAGTAGTTTGTTTCTTGGTTTTCCAAGAAATTAAGGAAGAACCAAGATACACGCAATAACCAGTAAGGGATTTCCTAGTATTTGGACATGAAGCCCAACCTACATCACAAAAGGCTTCCAAGTTAAAAGAATTACGTGCAGGGAAAAATAAACCTTTGGAAGGACAGTGTTTCAAGTATCAAAGAACATGCAATGTAGCTGCCCAATGATTATTGCAAGGTCATTGAACATACTGACTAAGTTGTTGAACAGCATAAGAAAGGTCTAGGCGAGTAAAACCAAGATAAAGTAGTCAACCAACCAAGCAGCGATACTTATCAGGATCAACAAGTAATTCATTCTTAGGAGTAGTAAACTTGAACCCTTTAGGTAAAGGGGTAAAAGCAGGCTTAGCACCAGAGAGCCCTGCATCTTTAAGAATGTCTAATGCATACTTCCTTAGATAAATGTAAGTACCCTAAGAAGACCTAGCAATTTCGAGACCAAGGAAGTACTTAGCATACCCAAGATCCTTGATAGTGAACTTGTCTTGAAGATAGGTCTTAACAGCAAGAATGTCAGCTTCAAAAGAGCCAGTAATAATGACATCATCCACATAAACTAAAAGAGCAAGAAAGGAAGAAGCTGTAGATCGAATAAACAAACAAGCATCATGAGCTGACTAAAAAAATCCATAGGCAATTAATTAAGAAGTGAACTCATTATTCCATATTCTGAAAGCCTGTTTCAGACCACACAATGATCTTTTTAAGCAACAAACTTGGTCTGGTCCAAACTTAGTGTAACTATCAAGAGGTAACATATAAACCTCTTCATCAAGATAACTGTGTAAGAATGAGTTATTGATGTCAAGCTGGTGAATGGGCCATAACTTGGTAGTAGCCATAACAAGAAAAACATAGACAGTAACCAACTTTGCCACAGGTGAAAAACTGTCAAAATAACAATGCCTTCAACTTGATCATAGCCCTTTGCAACTAACCTAGATTTATACCTATCAACGAAGCCATCAAGGTTAAGTTTGATTTTATAAACCCAACGAAAACCAATGGCTTTCTTTCCTGCAGGTAAAGGTGTTAGCTCCCATGTATTATTATTGCTTCTAAAGCAGTAAGCTCATTTTTCATGGCTTGAACCCATTGAACATTAAGTCTACCTTGATCATAAGAAGTTGGTTCTTAGATACTAGACACATTTGCCAAAAAGGATATGTATGATGTATTAAAAAGGTGTGATTGAACATATGGAAAAGTAAATGGTGTATGAGGTAAAGAGGCAGCAGACATCGTAGCAGTGGCAATGTAAGTCGATGTAGAGGAAACAACATTAGACACAAAGTCATCTAACCAAGCAGGTTTTTTTGATAATCTGGTACTGTGTCATATTGGAGGAGGAACACCAAGAGAGGTTGAGGATTCAATAAGAGAAGATGTAGTTAAGGAAGATGGTGAAATTGAGGGAGAATGAATTTGTAATTCTTCAGAAACATGAGTATTAGTAAGAGGGGTGTCATTGTCTTCAGAAACAAGAACAAGAGGTAAAGATACCTCTTTTGAAGAAGGACGAACTTTTTTGAAATGGAAAGTTTTTTCATGAAAGATGACATCTCTTGACATAAAATTTTTGTTTGAATGAATGTCTAAAACTTTATAAGCCTTCTAACCAGTATTATATCCTATGAAAACACACTTATAAGCTCTAGGGGCAAACTTGCCTTTGTTTGGATATGTGTTTGTAGCAAAACATAAACAACCAAAAGTCTTGAGGAAAAAATCATCTAGTGTTTTGTGGAAAAATATTTCATAAGGTGTTTTCCATTGTAAAACAGGGGTGGACAACCTGTTAATGATATAGGTGGCTGTAAGAATTGATTCCCCCCAAAACTGTTTAGGTAGAGTAGATTGAAACATAAGAGCTCTTGCTACTTGAAGCAAGTGTTTATGTTTCCTCTCTACTAACCCACTCTGTTGTGGGGAATAAATGCAAGATTTTTGATGTAAAATACCAAGATCAAGGAAAAGAGTTTGATAATCTTTGCTAAGAAATTATGTTCCATTATCAGTTTGAATGTTCTTTACTGATAACTGGAACTGATTTTTAATCATGTTGAAAAATGTAGTTAAGGTATGAACAATCCGACTTTTATGACTTCAAAGAAAAGTCTAGGTTGCCCTATTGATATCATCACCCACAGTTAAAAAATAATGCGCACCTATAAATGAAGCAATTTTATATGGTCCCCATATGTTTGCATGAACTAACTCAAATGTTGTGTGAGTATGAGTTGTACTAGTAGGAAAAGGTAATCTGTGTTGTTTTGATAAAGGACATATATCACAAATAGAAGTATCAAAAGTAGAACACTTGGTAATAGAAATTTTATTGAAAACAACATGCGATGGACGGCCTAATCTTTGATGCCATAGAGTTGAAGTTGTGGCATCATTATTGGCATAACAAAAGGTATTATATGTATGTGGAGTATTAGATGATTCAATCCTAGATACAAACTGTGAAGAATGGGTTTTAATCGTTTCTATAGTAAAAGAAGATTTGTCTAAAATATATAATCTCCCAACTAACTTGCCAACTGCCAACACTGTTTCAGTCTGTAGGTCCTTTAAAAGACAATGAGTAGGATAAAAAATGAATTTGATAAGTGCATATTCAAAAACTTATTTACAGACAGCAAGCTGAATTTGAAATTGGGAATATGTAAGACCTCAGTAAGGGTTAAAGTTGGTTGTAAAACGAGTGTTCCTATATGTTGCACAAAACTGATTGATCCATCTGGTAGGTATACAAGGGTGGGTTTATTGACTAAAGTATAAGGATTTAACATTGTAAGATCAGTACCCATATGACTTGAGGCTCCTATGTCTATAATCCAAGATCCTGAATCTAACAATTCAATAGAACTTAATGCATGTTTTAGACCAATACTTGCAAAATCAGCAAAATGTGCAAAATTGATTGCAGACCCATCAGCTGGTGCTTTTCCCTTCCTAAACTTTCCCAATTCTTGTTAAATTAGCTCAGATAGTGTAGCACTGCATTCAATCCCATTGCTTTTTTGTTCATTTTCACGTTCCAGTGGAGTATTTGTCATATTGGCATAATTCTTAGGCTGAGATTTTCCCTTTTGTTCTTTTGATTCTTTGTACCAGTCTAGATAACCATGAAGCTTAAAACAAGTCTCTTTCGTATGTCCACCATTGTTGCAAAACTCACAATGCCTTTTAGACTTCTTCACCATGTCCTTCCTCCTGTACCCATTCTTAACAATTGCTTCCTTTTTAAAATTTTTTGCTTTAGCAAATAGAGCACTATTCTCAAGATGTTTAGCAAACACTACATGCACTTCTCTTTGCTTTTTAACCCTCAAGATCATTGAATATGCCTTGTTTACAGTAGGTAAAGGATCCATAACCAAGATTTGATTTTTAATATGATCAAAACTATCATTCAAACCCATAAGAAATTGCATTAATCGATTAAAAGAAGTTATCCCTGCTACCGATTTAGCCACACCACAACTACACTGTGGTATAGCCATCAAACATGTCAATTCATCCCATAATTTTTTGAACTTCGTATAATACTGCACAACAGGCATATTTCCTTGAGCAAGTGAACTAATTTCCCTCTGTATCTGATACAATAAAGGTCCATTACGTTCACCAAACCTTTCTTCTAACTCCTTCCACAACTCTCTAGCCGAGGTTGTATATAAAAAGGCTTCAACAATCTCTTTCGAATTTGAGTTCAATATCCAAGAAGTAACCATACAATCTACCCTACTCCATTGTTCAAAATCTTAAGATTCTTCATTAGGCATCTCACATTTCCCATTTATAAACCCTAACTTCACTTTTGCACCCAACACAATTTTCATAGAACGACTCCAAGAGAAGTAATTCTTACCGATTAGTGGAGTAGAGACAAGAATCATTCCTAGATGATCAGAACTTTGTAGATACAAAGGATCTCCATTTCGAATGTGTTCTCCATTTTGTACTTGATTAAGCACCATCTCTCTCACTTTGAAGATTTGAGCTCCTTATGCCATCATCCATGCTTATCGAATCAAAGATTTACGACAATAACAAAAAAGTTGTGTATTCGTAAAAGGATCTATGCTCTGATACTATGAATAGAGTAAAATGCAATTTGGTAAAGTGAGTTCTTATTTTATAAATGAAGAAAAACGGAGTACATCCTTTTATACAAGAAAAAATAGCTACTTACTGCCAGTTAATCCTAATCTAACTAACAAACAAAATGTTGTTTTGCAACTCAGCTGTAGCTATTTAACCAACTCGGCTTAACTGACTAACTAATACTAAAACAATAAATAAAATATTTAATTTGTACACATATAAATGTAAAGAAAGACATCTTTTACCCTAGTATCAAAGGATTTGAAGTTTTGAACCAAGATTTCTAAGCCAAAGGGCTGCATACTAGTACATCTAAGACTAAGACATAATTTAAATGCGAGTGTTTGTCTATGAAAAAGATAATATTGAATAAATTGATTGAAAATTATGAAAATTTGCTATTTCTTTTCCTTCCAAATTAGAGATAAATTGTAGGGAAAAATTGAATTTCTACAAATGGAAACCCCTCTGACATCATTTGAAATCTAACCTTCAAAAGACTTTTTAATGAGCAATATAAAAAAAAAATTCACATTTATGTAATATGTTATAATCTTACATGATTTGATTGATGGATTGTACGTAAACAGACGCGTTTATATAATATTTATTTTTCATATCATTGTATATTTTGATTGATCAATTGTATGTAAAACAGTAAGGCTTTTAATTCAATAATATGAATAGTGGAAGTACTCTAAAATGGTACTATATTTTCCACATTTCTAGACGTTTTATCTTTATTGTTGAAGTTAATTCAATAATATATTTTTTTTTTTTTTTTTTGGCAACATTATGAAAATGGCAAAATCTCATTGATATATCATAAAGATCACTATTATATATATATAGGTGGGAAAGCAACCCACTCAACCCAACCCGACCAGGCCCACGACGGGTTACACAAAGTGGCGGGTCGGTCTTGACCCGCCCGCCAACATTGGCCGGCCGGGTTAGGCCCGCCAATTATGGGAAATTGGCTGGCCCAACCTGGCGCACCAGCCCTAACCCGCCGTGTTAGGCCGCGGGTTGGGTCGGGTTAACCCCTTTTTTGATTTTGTTTTGTTTTGTTTAAGTTTAAATGTTTAATTAACTTTTCAAATGAATAATTAACAATTTATAAATGAATAAATGTAATTGTTTTTAGTTAAGTGTTAATTTCTTTTCAAATATCAATAATTAAATTAAACTAAATTTTTTTTTTGTTAACATTCCAAATATTAATTCAATTTTAATACATTAAAATTGTAATATAAGAATAATTAAATTTATTCATTTATTAAAAAATAAAATAAGAAATTATAATAATTATTGTCTCGTTCAAAACCTCACCAAGAAAAATCCAATGGGACAAAAACTTGGTAAGGAAAAAAGAGTGCAATAATTGACAATTAATTTACAAGTTACAATTTACAAAACAACTCATTTTGGGATTCACTAAGACCTCCCTCATCCGTATCATCTATATTACAAAATGAAATGATTCTATTAAAATATCGTTGACAAGCTCATATTGACTTTGATGGCGCGACTGTTCCCAATCTCGAAGACATGTGAGGACTTCAATCATTTTTTGTGAAAGTTTAACCCTCATTTCATTTAAAATTCTTCCACTTGTACTAAATGTTTGTTCGGATGAGACGGTTGAGACAGGAATAGTGAAAACATCCAAGGCAAGTCTTGATAATACCGAAAAAATACATTTTCTGGCTCTCCAATAGTCTAAGAGATCAATGTTGGCTCTCTGTTGTGGATCTACTGGTAACATTTCAGGAGGTTACCAACATATATAAGAGTCGTACTCTATGACTGCATGGCGGCCAGTAGATTCGTTGTTACCATTGGTGCTTTGAGAGGAGATTGCACCTAGCTTCGGGTTGGTGCCTCTTCGGCCTATTAAATGCACTCCAGGTGTAGAAGTCTTCATTTGTTTCTTCTGATTAAAACTTCCCTTTATATTTCGTGTCTTGCGGGTTCCCATACCTGTTTTCATATTGGAAATATACCCCTGCAAGATAATTTTTTACTCTCCTATTTGATTGACAATGCTAAGTCTTGTAAATTTTCAGATAATGTCTCTAAACCATTTTAAACCTTCTTGTTTAATTCTAGGATAAAAAATGGCACCTAAACAATAAAGAAAAGGAATGGGTTTAAAATATTTTAAAAAAAAATTTCCATTGCCTTTATTGGTTCTGTTAAATTTCATTATTTTTGTTTTTTGTAAATAACTCTGAAATTTTTACAATGAAAGTATTACCAATAGACTAGTAGGATATACCACACCAGAAAGTTGTAAAGTGGATTGGTAAAAATTTTAAGAAAAGAATGAAATACTTTAGCTATTTGCCAATCATTTTCTACCAAATAATGAGGACCTCTATTATTTACTCAAAATAACAAATTAAATTAGCATAAGTAAACATGAATCAAGCATTAAATAAGTACTATTCCATCTAACAGACATGTCTAATGTAAATGTTCTAGGAGACATATTTGATTTTATACAAGCATCTTCACAATTCAGCATTTCTTTTATTCATACCAGTAATCTAAGCTAAACAATCTCTAATTCTATCAATATTTTCTTTAATTGTTTTCATACCACTTTTCACAATTAAATTAATAAATGACATGCACAACGTTGGTAAAAAAACTTCAAATTGTTATATAAAGATAATTACTGTGAAAATAATCTATAACTTTACTATTAGAACTTGCATTATCTAAAGTTAAACTTATCACTTTACTAACAATATCATAATCTTCTAAAACTTCAACAATATATTATAAATTTGTTGACCACTATGATCAACATCCTAATCTAAATCCTATAAAGATTTATTTAATTTACATTCATTATCAAAATTATGACTAGCCACAAATAAATCTTGTTTTTAGCTCTACCACTCCAAATATGGCAGTTAGAGTCACACTAACATGACAAGTATGTATTTTATTTTTAATTCTAATGTTCATTTTTCTAAACAATTTTATTAAATCATTCTAGTTGCAGTTTTAGAATAACTTTTAAATCTTGGAACAAATGAATTTGAACAAATCTTTCAAATATTTATCTTAACCATATTAATAGGTGATCAGTTGCAGCAATATATAAAGCTAACCGTTCCCTATATACATCAGATAATACGCCAAGTATACCCATATTAGTTATTTGAGTTTGATTGCTTTCTCTATTTCCATGTTGATTAATATGTTTATTAGCATGCCTTTTTAAAGTACTAGTACCATTACCTGAATCAGCTTTATAAATATTTCCACAGTATTTGCATCTCGCTTTCTTGACTTGAACACTATTTTCTGTCTCGTAAAACTTGTCGAAATGCACCCAAACGTCTGATGTGTGTCTATCTTCGGTTTCGACAGCAGTTGATAACCCGCCTCAGCTTGAGATGAAGTTGGACGAGGACGACTTCTAGAACCACCAGAGCTATTGGAATCGGGGGCATATTTTGAGGTGCATCGAATTTGAGAATGGGAAAGTGGGACTATTGAATCTCCTCCTGCATTTATGTTAGTAAATCAACAGGACTAGGACTAGGATAGTATTTCCTTCATCATTGTAATTGATGGAGAGAAATATCTATCCATTGTAGTTGAAAAAAAAAATTGATGTAGAAAAAATAAAAATTAAAGAAAGAGAATTGGAATATGGAAATTGGAATTTGGAATTTGGAATTTGGAAAATTGGAAATATGAATTAAAAATTGCAAAAACTAAAAAAATTAAAATATGAGCAAATTGATAACAGAGAGATTAAGAGAATAAATGAATAATGAGAGATTAGAGATTAGAGAATATGAGAGAATGAGAGAATTTGAGTTGTGAGAAAAATGGAGAGTTTAAGGCCAATTTATAGAAAAAAAATGGGAAAGGAAAATGACGAAAAAACCTCTCCAACAGCTATAAAACAACTATATTTCGAGGGTAAAGGGGTAATTTGAAAAAATAAATAAAATTTTCTATTTTTTTATTTTTTGTTCGGCCAACCCGTTGATGTGTAACAGCCAACCCAGCGGGTTGGCGTCCTTTCTTAGAAAGGACAAAACAGCAACCCGCGAGTCAACGGTTGCCATTTTGCAACCCGACCCGCCCGAGGGTTGCTGCCGGGTTGGGTTCAACCCGGACCGCCAATAAACCCTTTTCATTGCGGGCCGGTTAGGGTTGATCTGCCTACCCGGCCCATTTGTTCCTATATATATATATATACTCAGACCAAAAAGTTTGAAAATACCATTTTTTCACCCAAAGTTAACATTTTGTTACTACCAAAGCCTATTCCGCTGATTCTAGCGACAAAATTCTCTCCGTCACCACCATTTGAATACGCTCTCCCTCTCTACAAAACTTCTCTCGCTCGACACTTGATTTCTCATCGATTGCAACCATCGCAAAGCTAGAGTTTTATTCTTAACTAATTTCTGTTGATTCTGACGACAAATATTCAATCGGTCACCATCATTATCACGGCATCCACTCTACAAAAACCTTCTTACCCTGGCTCCTGTAACTTGCGAAAGTTGGCTGAGAGAGTAAATTATTTGGGTATTAACATAATATAAACTTGGGTGGGAAATGATATTTTGAATTTTTTAGTGGGAAAGTA